CCCCAAAACCCCAAAACCCCAAAACCCCGTAACTCAAAATCTGTTAAAAATGTGGGAATTAATAACAAAATCTAAATTTAAAATTTAAATGGAAAAGGCAAATAATTCTGCGAACTTAAAGTCCAACTCTTCAGCAAAGCAAATCCAATTGTAAAGTGAACTATCAAGATAAGCTACTGATGACGATAAGGATGTCTTTAAAATCTTAATCACAACAGACAATCATCTTGGATTCAGAGAGAATGATCCTATTGTTGGCAATGATTCGTTTTTCTCATTTAATGAGACTCTGCAAATGTAAGCACTTATGATTAATATAAGTTTAGTGCATCTGAAAAGAATGTTGACTTCGTCCTTCTTGGAGGTGATTTATTTCATGACCAGGCACCCTCTCGAAAGACATAGTAATGATAATTAACTTTAATTAACTTGTAGCTACCGAACTTCAAAAATCTTTAACAAATATGTACTTGGCAAATAATAAGTAAAGTTTGAGACTTATCAATACAATAGAGCCAATTATCTTAATCAGTCATTGTCAATCAAACTACCAATATTTTCAATACATGGTAACCATGATGACCCAAGTGGTTTAGAATTCTTCTCAAGCTTAGATATGGTTAGTGCTAATAACTATGTGAACTATTTCGGGAAAGTAAAAAATATCGAGCAAATTGAAGTCTAGCCCATCCTTTTTACTAAAGGAGACTCAAAGATAGCTCTCTACGGTATAGGCCACATGAAAGATGAGAGACTCAACATGGCCTTTGAAAATAAGACAATTAAGTTCAAAAGGCCTAACTAAGATAAAGACAAATGGTTTAATATACTTGTACTTCATTAAAATAAATATAAAGGAGTGGCACTAGGTGCATCTAAGAGATGCAGCATTATGGAAAATATAATACCATAATTCTTTGATCTTGTAATTTGGGCTCATGAACATGAAAGCATTCCCTAAGTTTATGAATGTACAGAAACAGGAGTCCATTTCTTGCAACCAGGAAGCACAGTAATAACATCTCTTTGTGAAGCAGAAACTAAGCCAAAACATTGTTTTATACTTAAAATCAAGCAATCAGCATTCACCTGCAAACCAATAAAATTAAGATGTGTCAGAAACATCATATTTAGGACGTAAGAGTTAAGACTCACAGGCCTGGATCCTAGAAGACCTCAACTTATTGAAAATTTTATCAAGCAATCAATTGATAAGATGATTGAAATCAGTGAAAGAGAAAAGTTACAACAGACTCAGGATCTGTAAAACTATCACTATGATGTCGCTAAGATACCTAAAGAGCTAGATCTTCCTTATATTAGACTCAAAATTGAGTATTCTGGTTACATGGTAGTAAAATCTCGAGACCTAAATCATTATTTTGAAGGAAAAATTGCAAACATCAAAGATTATTTACAGTTTTTCAAAAGGTAAGGAATGCTTGCTACTTAGAAAAAAAGAAAGAAGAGTCAAGAGGGTAAATCTGGATTCTCTGAAATGGATGGACTGATTGACAATGAAGAGGAGAATATATTTGATATGAATGAAGGCGGACGAGGGAGGATAGACCTTAACTCATACTTATTCCGTCAAATGAAATTGAAGCAGACGAATGAGTAAAGATGCATAAAAATAGATGCCAATAAGTTCATGCAAATTTTGGACAAGGCATAATTGAGTGATAATTCAACTGTGGTTGAGAAAATGATTGACAGAGAGATTTTTGAAAAAGTTCTTGCTGGAGTAAAGAAGAAAGTTAATGAGAACATTCTTAGTAATTTAATGAACTTTAAAGATATTTACGATAATGGATTGGAGAGCAAACTCAAAGAAATTAGTCATAATGTAATGAAAGAGCAAAATATCATCGATGAGGAAGAAGAATAACATTATTAATTGCCTACTAAAGAATAGGATGGAGTGATGTAAGATCCATAATCATAGGTTGGATAGATAAAGAAAAAAAGCAGATTAGACTTTGATTACGAGGAATGTTCTGATAGATCATTCAAACTAAATAACGATATGGAAAATGAAATATTCAAGCCAAGTGCTTATCTAGACAATCAACCTGCTAAATAACGAAAAAGTGAGATCAATATGAAGGATGAATCAAAGAACTAGAAAAAGTAAAAAAGTAACTCAAGAAATCCCCAAAATTAATAGAATATAAAGGATAAATAGGTGAAACGAGCAGCATCTAAAGAATCTCTTCATTTGGAATCGTCTGATGATGAGCAGAATAAGTCAGGATTCCCTTTAAAAACAAGTGTAAACAACTTTATGGCTGATTTTGACAGTAATTCAAATTCCCCATAGATGTTTTTAAAACCCAATAAAAAGTAAACTATAAAAGCTGATCTATCTAGTGCTTCACCTTCGCCAGGTCGTAAAAACCCCAAATCTAATAAAAATAAGACTCAAGAAAATAAAAAAGTTGAGCAGAAATAATCACAACTGACTAACTTTATTAATAAGAAAAAGCCTGAACCTGTTGATGATGAAAAATATAAGAGTAAAAAGCGAAAGTTAAACTCCTCGAGAAAAGAGGAAGAAGAATAGATTGAATCAGATTCAGATAATAGTGAGCCCTCAAACCTTCAAGAATAGATTAACCATAAAAAAAGAAAGCTTAATGAAAATGAATAAGCAATCAAAGTTAATCCAGTAGGCCAAACATAAAATTTGGGTAATAAGAGAATCCAGGCTCCTCAAAAACCAGTAGATGAGGTTATTATTAGTCAATCGGGAAGAATGATTCCTAATTTCAATAGATATGTTAAGAAGAAATGAGTTTCCAACTAATTTAATGAGCTAGTATTGCTTTTGTTATCTTTCAAGTTAAGTTATTGATATTTTATTGTATAAATAAGCTATTACCTAATAATGAAAGGACAGGGGTTTTGGGGTTTTGGGG